TTGTTGCTCCAGCAGCCAACGTGGCACTAATTAGAAGTATAAAAGGTGCCACAACAACAGTTAGAGACTGGCGTTATCCTGCCACTGCCTCTATCTTCCCTCGGTCTCTGTGTCTGCCAGCAGTTAGGCTTTGTCTGTCGAGCATGCAAATTATAGTTGCCGTGGAGGCGCCTCCGTCTGGCGGCTTGAGACGCCGCTGCACACCGACAACTATATAATGCCACTGCTGCTCCTACTTGTACGTACTATCCTTCCAGGGGCGAACAGATCGAGGGGGGCTTAGGAATAAATGAGCTTATGTTTATGACTTTACCAATGCTAAGCTTGAAGTTTGCATATAATTCTGCTCATAAAATTAACGAACAATCTCTGTTAAATTGTATTTGAATTTCAATGTAACATAACTTAAATTAAAACCAGATAATGATGTGATGATTCAACAGAGGTAAACCCTTGAAAGTATTTCAAACGCTCGCCCCTGGATTAAGCTACCTGTACACTTTGCCGTTTACGTTAATTAAAATACATCTTGAGGGTGCCGGGTAAATGTGATTAACATATGAATTGCACATTGTCCGCATAAATTTGCCATTGAGGACGGCGGGTCGGGTCTTCCTGGTGCTGCGGCTTCTATGCCCTGTGGTCACTTGACATCTTAAGCAGCCGCAGACGGGATGGGGGAGGGGGCGACCTGGAGGCGCCTGTCGAGGAGTTTCCGGTATTTGGGCTCCGAACCAGGGGTTATCCTCCTGGATGAGACGTGCTGTGAGTGAAACTCCTGCCAGCATCCCGTTTTTGGGATGCTCCTTCAGCCTTTTAATGTGCCATTCTCCCGACGCGTCGCACATAATTATGGCGGATGTGCTGCCCAACGAAGCGTTAAGTCGAATCCTTGCTCCAGTCCCAGTCCCTCCTCGCAGGCCACCTCAGGATGCCAGTTGCCATTTGGCATTTGTGCCCTTCCATGGGCTTTCAGGCCATGCATGTATTTTATTTTTTATGCATTATCATGTAACTGTGTGGCAAGGAGGAGTCCTCGCCGTTATTGTTGTGGCGGCTGTGTCGTCTTTCATTATTATTTATGCTTTATTTATATATATGTACGCACTTCCTGGGTGTAAACAGCGGAGAAGACTCCCCCTGCCCCGTGGCCGCTGTGCCACATGGCGTATGCGTCATCCGAAGGAGTAGAATGTCCTATGACTTCTGTGACCAGCTTCCGCTCATGCTCATTCTCATTGTTATGCTAATGGCTTACGATATATGAATAATAAGCTCCGGCCACAGCAGCGCTTCTGCTGACCACACGCACACTCCGTTTGAGGCTCAGATTTCGAGAGTATCCTGGAAGAGACTCCACCAGCATCGTCGTCCTTTGACGACAACAGTTGTCGCTTCAGTTATGCAAATGCCGGTGGCTACTGGACACGAGACAGTGGTCGAATATTTGATATCTTTATATCTCCCTTCGAGAAGAGCTACGCAAATTGTTTTCCTCTGTTCCGAGTGCAGATCCAGTTTTCATACGACTGCCATATAAATCTGAGCGCCCCTTAAGCCCCGTATGCCGGCAGGGACAGGAGTTAAAAAAGAGCGAGTGTTGTGTGTGTGTGTGTAAAAAACCCAAAGGAAGTTTTAAGTTTTGTTGTCCTTTCGGCATGCCCGGAAGCTCTTAAAGAACCAGAACCCCAAACACGTGCAAAAGTATGAAGGCTCGAGGAGGGGATACAAGGTGGCACACGGCTCAAAATGAGGAATCGTAAAATGCGAAACGAAATTTTATGTCCTTGGAAAGCCTAACTGTTGCTCCTGCTGCCTGCATTTTGCTTGGACGGCTGCCATAAATCCTGACTCGTGCTTTTTAATGCTCACCTTTTGTGTTGTTTTGTAGCTCATTTGCCATTAATCTGGCGAAACTAAAAGTGAGATAACCTGACCCAGATGGACTAGCTCAAGAGTTTTTTTTCTTTCGTTTATAACCGGCCATATCGTGCGAGTGGTTATTATAATGAATATATAAATGCCAGTAGCCCTCTAGCCTTTATTTAACCTGCCACCGGGAATAATATAATTAAGTTGTAAGAGCTGGAAACTATATGGTTGCTTTTATTGGAATAATTTGTTTTATAGAAGAGACTATCTTTGTTTACAAGAAATAAAATAACTTTTGAAATGAAATCCATGCTGGTAAATATGTTTCAAGAGCGCTCCTTTACAGAACCTATATTTTTAATTACCCTTTTCCTTTGAAAATCATTAAAGGTCTTGATTATTAATAGTTAAACGAAGAATAGTAAGTTATAGTGTTTTATACAAGTTTCAAGAGTTTCCTAAAGATGATTTAAAGCGTCTTTCAAGTTAAAATGTCCCTTAAAATTCTCCATGATTGAATGAACATAAACTCACAGGTAATAATTTGCATTGGTAGGTAGGTAGAGGTGTTGAGCCTCGTTCGGTTTGATATGGTTTTTTTATGTCAGTTGCAGCAATACCCTGGTGGCCTCATTTTTCTGCGTGGCCTGGGCACGTTTTATTTGTTTAAAGAACTATTAAAATGGCATAAACAGGAACTCGAATGGCAGCAGCAACAGCGATGGCAATCGCACCAGTGCCGGGTGCCATTGGTGCGACTGAATCCAACTGGACTGGCAGCGCCAAAAGTTTTATCTTGGCCATGATGGTGGAACTGGGGAACTGTGGGACTGACCTCCCCCTGGCAGGCATGTCCTGTAGTCCTGGCGCTGCCTTTTGAGCGCATTGTTGTTGCTCGTATTTGATTATCGCATTTCATTTTGTGTCGGGTGAATGTAGAAAGTTGAATGCAAATTTGCATGACACCAACAGAAGCGGCCAGTGGTTTGCTGGCTGCTGGGGGATGCTGATGATGATGATGCTGCTGATGATGATGATGATGGTGGGGGAGTAGCGAAGGAATACGGCAACAATCACACCAAGCATCATCATAATAATAACAAAGCAGCCAGAGCAACAGCAGCAGCAACAGCAGCAGGGGGAACTTTATTCCCGGGTCCTTTTTTGTTTTTCTACCCCACAAGCTGGAGCAACAGCAGGGGCAGGATCAGGCACCAATGGAATGGAAATGGGGATAGGAATGGGGATGGGGAGAACTGGCTGTCAAAGTTTTTAGGTATCATTTCAGTTTATTTGAATTATTCATAATCCGGCGAAGGTCCTTGCGCAGTAAGAAACAAACACAGCAGGGCCTTTGGAAAAGCAGCCCGCAGATAACGGAAGCAGCAAATAAAAATCATTCATTGTAAACATTTTCGCCTCGCAAACACCAAACAGGGAAAGGGGGGAAATGGAAAATGGAAAATGAAACCGCAACCGAAATTCGATTCAATCAACAGCAAAATATGGAAGAAAAAAGCCCAACAATGGACCCTTACCAGATTTCCATGCAAACTGTAAATTAAGTGAAACATTAAATATTTAACTTTTGTAGAGTGAACTTTTGGCTCTGCCCTCCCTCCGAAATTCACCTGTTGAGCCATGCAGTTCTGTGTCCTTAAGGAAGCCCTTGTCCTGCTATTTCCCCCCTGCAACACGCAAATGCCTAATAGAGAAAGTTTACTTTCCGCGCTCTCAGTTGCTTGTTCCTGCCGCAAGAGCCGAGTTTCGACTTACTTTCTATAGCTATCGAACTCTTGTTTGACTCATGCTTAAATGTGCAATAAATTGAGCACTTCCCCCCCGCCCCAATGTGGGGTATTCCAGGTGAGAGCCAGGTGAGAGCCTGGCCTCCACTCGTCGCACGACAGTTTTACGACAGTCACGCGATAACCTGGTATAAATAGAAAGTCAGCGTGCCCGAACTGTTTGCAGAAATTGAATGTTGGTTAGAAAAGCAACACAGTCAATCATTCAGGCCCACTGACAAGATAAACACCAGATCCACAGGGAGAAATATGAATGATCTAGAGGGGTTTTAGACTAAAGATTTTAAAGATCGTAAAAAAAAACTAAATAATATATGGATTATAACCTTTATCAAGGCCTTTAAAAAACCTTTAGGAATGGTCAGCCCTTTTAAAATAACGTGTTTATTAATTTTAATTGTGCAACAAAGAATGCAATTAGTTGAAACATGCCATATATGTAATAAAATTTAATTGGATTTTCATGTAGGCAGTTAGTAAAAGTACGGAAGTATAAATATAGTACTCTTATATTTATATTAACTTCCATAAAACTTAAGAAAAACGTTTAAAAATATAAAAATGTCTAAAAAATTGCTTCATGTTTAATATTATTAATTGAATAAATCATATATTTAGGAAACTCTTCGCTTATTATAGTATTTTCTATGAGTTCCTAACTATTTAAGAAGCTATCAAGCTTATTAGTTCTATAATTCATTATATATGTACATCCTGCTTTCCCATAAAGCTATTCAAGAAGGCATTAAAGTCCTTAATGTAATACTTAAAACTATCAATTCTCTGTTTTTTTTTGTGTGTGTCAGAAAGGACTTAAAGGTGGAACCATAAAGAGGTGTGTTGAGGAGCTGAAAGAAATTAGCGCAAACTATGCCGCAAGAAAAGTTAGTTGCGAAGCCTAATAAGCGCGCCCGTGGCCGCCCACGGAAAACTGTGTGGCTCCAGCGAGGCATGGCAGTCCGGGGTGGGTGCACGGGTGCCCGGGTGTACGGGTGCCAGTCAGCCAGCCGCCTGCACGGCAACCATCATCCGCCCCGTTGGCCGACGATTTGCCAACGTTTTCACTTTCACATTTGCGTGCTGTTCCGCTGCCGCTGCTGTTGCCGCTGCTGCTGTTGCTGCTGCTGACGTCGCTGTCGTCGCATTGCGAATTCCTGGCAGCAGAGGGGCAAAGTTTTAGCATACTTTTCGGTGGCGGCGACAGTATTTTTTGTGCACTTGACATGTTTTGACACGCTCCTCGCTCGACGCTCCTCGGCTCCTTGGCAAGGAGCACAGCACCGTTACGTCCTTCCCTCCTCCTCCTCCTACTCCTCCACCATGTTTGCCTCACCGCTGGAGTTTGATATTGTTTTGCGCGCCAAAAATGCTGGCGATAATCTGGTGAGCTCGACTGGAAGACACCACACACAAACACAAAGACACACACACAAAGAGAGAGAGAGAGAGAGAGCACACACCTGGCGCCCATTCCTGGCAACTCACCACGTTGTCCATGACAACGGTTGCCAACTTCCAGGCAGGAACCCCTTTTGCCCCTGCCGACACTTGCACTTTCCAGGCGACGCGACACGGTGCGACGCTTACCGTTTGTTTACCTTTGTTGTTGGCTTAGTTACTGGCCAACAGCGGTGTGTGAAAGGCGATATTTCCAAAGGTTTTCACCATAATTAACGCGACAGCATGTGTTTTAAATTTAAATAATAATATAATTGATTAATGGTTGTTGTTCTTTTGTGCCATTTCTGTTGCGTTTTTGATAATGATGCTTCGCCTAGGGATGTGGCAAATATAATTGCTTTCCGGTTTTCGGTCGATGGGCATCAGTTGCACAAAGGCCTACACCGGCTGGCAACCACCGCCAACTTGGCCGGTTAAATAAACAAGAACCGCATACGCACACACACACACACACACCAAATTATTTGCCGGCAATTAAGGCTGTGCCAGGACCGGTCACGCGGTCCATCAAACACTGCCCTGCGGCTCAGGGAGGGTGAGTGAGATACATATCCATACATAGTTTGTGGATCGTGGAATCGTGTGCAATATGCAAATGACATTTTAATTAGTTTATTAATCGGCCATGGGTCCATCTCACTAGCATGAATATTTCTCCTTGTCATGCGAAATTAATGAATATTGTTGATGTGTGCTAACGATCCCGTTTGTTCCCCATTTTAATCTTTATCCTTTTTGCCAACAACAACAGCCTCAACTGCTGCGGCAGCGGGACAGGAGCCATCGGAACGCGCTGCACTATTGTGCCGCGCAGGACATCGACCAGAGCACGGACCTCGTGGCGGCCGCCAGCATCGCAATCGCAGCTCCCGAGCTGCTGGAGTCTGCCGACGAGGATGGCTTCACGCCGCTCCACCTGGCCGTCATCCAGGGCAACCTGGCCATGGTCAATCTCCTGTTGGCCAACAAGGCCGACGTGAATGCGGTGGACAACGAGGGACACTCGGTGGTGCACTGGGCCACGGGTGAGTGGGAGCATCGCATTGATTTTAGTATTAATTTTTGTATTATTGAAGTTTTGAAAAGTTTACCACAAAATATAAGTGTTTTGCAAATATGCTAATAACACATTACGAAATATGTATATATTTATGGATTTAAATCTCACTTGTTAATTGTGGCAAACTTTTTGAACATTTTCATTTTTATTATTAACGAATTCGACGCACTTTACCGCACACACAAGCCACAATTTTTCACCAGATTTGTGCGGTAAAATATTTCACTTCATGCCTCAAAAAGAGAATTCCAATAAATCGACATTTTCATTGCTTCAATTCGTTTAATGTACATACATTTATTATTTCATATTTACTCTTTTTAATTCTAGTATGCGGCGAGGTGGAGTCCCTGCGCGCCGTCCTGGCAGCGGGGGCAAGTGTGGCCAAGCCGGACGCCAATGGGGGCACTCCGCTTCACTATGCCGCCCAGATGTGCGGCGCCACTCACGACAGCAAGCAGCAGGCCAGCTCCAGCAGTAGTTCTCGCCTCTCCCTCGAGATCCTTGGCATACTGCTGGCCCATCCCCAGAGCAGTGTCGATGTCCAGGACAAGGACGGTCGCCAGCCGCTGCTGTGGGCTGCCTCGGCGGGATCGGCCAAGGCGGTGATTGCTCTGGTCAAGGCGGGAGCACGAGTGGAGTCCTCTGATAAGTGAGTTTTTTCTAAGGTTAATAATCTAAAAATTCCCTAATCCTTGATATTCTTACCTTTCAGGGATGGACTCACTGCCTTGCACTGCGCTGGTTCACGGGGACACACCGAATGCATTGATACCCTGATTGGCCTATGTGGCGCTCCCACGGATCTCATCGATTCCAATGGCTGCACGGCTCTGCATTATGCGGTGACCTTGGGCCATGCCGATTCCACTGCCAGGCTGCTGGACTTGGAGGCGGATCCGAATCGCCAGGATCGCAAGGGACGTACTCCCGCCCACTGTGGGTGCTCCAAGGGACAGTTTGAGACCCTGAAGCTGCTGAAGGAGCGCGGCGCCAATCTGTGGCTTCGCAATGCCAAGGGGGACCTGCCGTTGCACGAGGCCGCCGCCTCGGGGAGAAGAGAGCTCCTGGAGTGGCTTCTCAGCCAGCGGCCCAAGCAGGTGAACACGACCAGCAACGATGGACGCAGCCTGCTGCACATTGCGGCGGCCAACGATTACACGGACATGTGCAAGCTCCTGCTGGACTACGGGGCGGATGTGAATGCCGTTTACAGGAACTCGAGGGGTTTGGTCCTGACCCCGCTGGATGGAGCACTGCAGCGGGGACACCGCTCCACGGCCAAGTTTCTGCAGGCCAATGGCGGTCAGCCGGCCAACAAGGTGCGGTTGAGTAGCCGGCGCGCAGGGAAGGGAAATCCATTTCACGAAACCAATGCCTCCGACCTGGTAAGACCCCTCAAGTATGTGGAGAAGGAGGAACTGCATGATTTGCGCAGCTCCAAGAAGTATGTGGTCTACCTGAAGCGGTCCGACTCGGACAATGGAAATGAAAATGGGACTGGCAATGGCCATGGTCAGGAAAACGATCCTGAGGCGGAGTGCAGCTGCTCGGAGCAGACCTACCGCAAGGAGCAACGCTTGAAGCACGTCTGCCGGCGGCACAAGCGGAGGCAGCTGAGGAGGCGGACCAGCAGCTGCGGGGAGTCCAAGCACGAGCGATGCAGCGAGATTTGCCGCTCCAAGAGCAACATCGAGATCAGGAGGCGCAAGTCACGCGAGCGGTATGCCAGTTCCAGTGAGTGGGAGGAGGATGGCGAGGATGACGAGGATTCCTGTGAGAATTGCTGCTACCACAAGCGGCAGAAGGAGCGGGTTGTTTCCCGCAAGCGTTCCACATCCTCAAGAAAGTCCAAAGACCGTCAAGATAGTGATGAGGACGAGGCGAATCATACCGCCCAATCGTCGCCAGAGAAGGGTTCAAGGAAGTCCATATCAGTCAATGGGGAACACAAGGCAGGGAATCCCAAGGAGCAACCCATTGCTAAGGAAAGACCTCCATCCGCCAGCAGGCATCAGACACCTCCCACCAAGGAGGGAACCTTTATCAAATCGCCACCGCAGAGCGCCAAGAGTGAGAAGTCCAACATCATGGACTCCCTTCTGGTGGAGGAATCCCATGCCGTGGAGCTAACAGATGAAGAACCAGAGGCAGCAAAGTCAGTGGTGACCCAAGTGGATGTCCATCACGATGCCGAGCAGCTTACCTCAAAGTCTTCCGAGGAAGTGCCCGCTGCAGAGGAACCTTCTCCTCAGGAGGAGGCCAAGCTGCAGTTAAGCGAAGAGGAGACCCAGCTGGTGTCCAAGGAGGTGGAACAGGTGATCAAAATAGCAGCTACGGCGCTAAGCAGCGAGTCCAAGAGTTCCAGTGAGGAAAAGCCGCCGGAAAAGAAAAGTGAATCTCCTGTGGAAAAACCGGAAAATGAATTTAAGGAAACCCCACAGCCTGCCACCCCAACGGCGCCTGCCCCGTCCTCGGGGCCACCAGCTTCCGAAAAGGAGGCTGCCAAACCACAGACAGCCGCAGAGAAGCCACAGCCGCAGCCGAACACCACCGTCGCTGAAGGGGTTGAATCTGAGGCTTCAAAACCAGCATCTGCCGGCAAAAAACGCGAACAGATGGAGCAGGCTGAAGCCAGACCAAAGCCGAATCCCAATCCCAGTCCCACACCCCCTTCGGCACCCAATTCCACTCCCAATCCCACTCCCACTCCTCCCACAGATCCGAAAAAGCCTACAACCGCACCACAACCACGCCCTACTCCTACTGCTGCTCCTGTACCTGCTCCTGTTCCTACTCCTACACAAACGCCCACCCAACAGGAGCAACCGCAACGGGAACAGGAGTCGAGGCGCTCCTTCACACTCCTGCCCTCCGATTCGGCGGACGATGACCCAGTTGGAAATCCAACCCCAAATGCTGGTACAGCTTCCGATGAGCCTGCCGCCGAGCGTAAATCGAGCTTCCAGGTGCTGAAGAGCGACGATTCCCTGGGCGAGTTGGAGGATCCCAAGAGACCCGGACGCAATGTCAGTAATCAAGTCTTTCAAGTAGTAAACGAAGGCAATTCCGTTGTCCAGCTGCCCAGTGCCGCGGAGCTGGAGAAGATGGAGTACGGGTACGAGGAGTACGACGATGAGTATGATGAGGATGAAGCGGATGCCATTGATCCGGAGCACGACAGTGCCTTGCGTCGCTTCCTGAGCAGCGGAAATCGTCATGGTGTGGGGAACACAGGAGGAGGAGCACCCGGACCTGGAGATGACACCTCCGAGGGCATGGGCAATGGACGGAAGCGTCGCCTCAAGAAGCGTGTGCGTAGCGGCACCAAGACCCGCAGCAACTGGAAGGGCACTCAGGAAGGAGGCAGCAGCATTGCCGCCCTTGCCACCAGCAAGGATCAGGACTCTGGCTTTGAGCCGAGTCCAAGGGCAGAGCGCAGTAAGATCCCAACCCTACGCTCTGCCCACATGCCCCGCCGGCCCATCTATGCCACCCTGGATGGACGCTCCTGCAGCAGTCGATTGGAGAACCGGAAGCCAGGAGACAAGGGAGCCTGCGACATGGGCGCCGTCACCAGATCCATTCAACGGAATATCCGCAGGTGAGTTTGCCTTATTAATTTATATTTTTATATATACAAAAATCGGATATATTTATATTGAAACGAACAAGGTGTAAATTTCATTAGCTCTCGGTAGGACAGAGCCTTACAGATTGACTTTAAATGAGGGAGAACTTCGAGTGTGAGCTGCAGTCCGGGCTTGGAGCTCTTCAGGCCCCGGAGAGTTGATGGCGAGATTCATTCATTTAAATTAATCTCCAGGCAGTTAGTGGCGCCGGCAAGCGCCGTCTTTTCGGCCGTAGATTTATTTACTTGATGCTTGATTTTAATCAACTTGAATGTCCCGCTCGCAGCCCGGATCGCATTATATCACGCGCTTCACTTCAGCTCCGCAGTTGTGGCTGCGGCGGCTCTTAATGTAATCAAACTGCCCAGCGCCGAAGACTGAGATGGAGCCGGGTCGCAGAGTCGATGGAGCTGCCGCCTTAAAGTTAATTTAGTCAGGGATTTAATAGCCTGGGCCGCATTTCTCATTTCTTTCCATCCATTTTTTCTTTTTTTTTCTGTTGCTGCGAGGCCTCCACCATTGTTGCGCTGGTCAGCAAATAAATTGCCCGGCTTCCGTTCGCCATAAAGAGGCGCGCTTTAAAGTTGTTATAATGTATGTACATTTAATGTACATTTTCCATGTACTGGAGCATGAACTATGACCGTAAAAGCCTTGAGCATAACAGGTGGATGTCGTTTGGTGACAAGAGGGCTTAATTCAATTCGCCGCCACGCTCTGTTACCTCTTATATTGGGTACCTTAATTACCCGAAGGTGGATCGTAAATCATAATTAGGTCAAGTCCGAAGAGTCCAGTCCATTGCCACTCGGCCTGGCTAATATCCTGGCTGATTTATTCCAGTGCCCTCGAATGCTCCGAATCTCGTCCGCTGTCATTAGCCGAAATGCTCATTTCCGGCAAAGAGTTGCGCATTTTAATTAGCTGCACAGAATCGGAAGGCTCGGAAGGGTTGAATGCGGTACACGGCAAGGACGAAGGACGCCCACCTGCGGTGCGATGTTTTGTTTATGCAGAAACTTGAACAAAATATGAAAATTAGCCGCAAGCAGGCAGCAGGCAGCCATTCGGAGTGGAGCAAAGTCTTTGGCTTCGTTTACAACTCGCTAATGCTAATTGTAAATGGAATTAGTGCAGATTAGCGAGAGCATTTTTAGAGGTCCTCGAAAGAGGCAAAGAGTATGAGAATCAGGACGAGAACGGGGCCCATTACCATTTGTGTTCGCTCTTCGTTTGCCGGCTTGTTTTTCCGGAAATCCCTTTGTGTACCCGGGACTTTGCCAGGAATTGGCCATAAGCTCACACTAGCGATTGTTTTTGCCGGAGGCTTTGGAGCTCGTGTGCCGGTAATTTCATTTGTCATTTTCAGATCGATTCGGCTAGATGCTCCTCTGTAAGCTGCTCCTCCAACTTTAAAGTCAATTGTATTTATTTATGGTATTTGCATAAGCCCGGCCGCAAAACTTAATTAAAAAGCGTAAGCTGACTTTTATTAATTTTGCTAATCTGCCTTGTAGCCCATGAATAAATTTGCAAACATTCACCGAGAAAGAAAAACAAAACAAAACAATAACGGGGCGAAAAACCGGAGCGCATTTCATAAATAATTCTTTCCACTTGACTAATGAAAATATTTAACTCGGCTGTTTGCATAAGCCGGAGCAGCAGGCCAGGCCAAGGAGTCACCATGGAACCAGAGCCGAGTTTCCGCCATGTCGGAGGTTCCGGCAAATACGCGGCGTATACGCAATGTACGCAAAACCGAAAGTCAAACAAGTGTCTTGCTCAGCAACTTTTCCGAACAAGTTCCTCCTCAACAAGTCGCGCGGGGTGAGTCAATTAATTCCCGGCTAAATCTACGGCAAGCATCCAAATAGAATCTACTCGAATCTACCCCCAAAAACGGAAGTAAAGCAACGAAAAAAATAGAAAGTGAATCCCAGTTGAATACTCTGGATGGGTGGGTGTGGCTTTGAATGCCATGAAAAGTGTGTAAATAGAGACTTTATTTTATTTTGTATTTTTCATTTTATTCTACATTCGCACGCTTTTCACACGGACACAGCACCCCCGGCAGCCCAGTCCCCGGCAACTTTATTTTGTTTCCTCGTTTCGGCTCCGAAGAGATTAAAATTTTATCTGACGCATAAATTAAACAAATAACTTACCGGTGCTGCTAGGATGGTGTGTGTGTGTGTGTGTGTGTGTGTGTGTGAGTGTTTCGAGTCCCAGCAGCACAGGTGAGATTTGGGATTTATAATGTGCGTTCTCGTAATTGACATTGTTAAATATTTGGATTTCGTTTTCGTTCTCAATTCGAAGTTTATCTGTTGTCCTTGCGGATGATTTTTGTGGTCCTGCAGCGGCAGGTGATGGAATTAGGAACTAGCTCTGATTTTTAATAGTTATACTCTCTCCAAGGGGACTATAATTTTAGCTACAAGTTTTCAACCTTATTAATCATCAATTGTGGTTCAAACCTGATCGCCTAATTCGACATTTTTATTGGCTCAAGTCTCAAATGGAAAGTTAATCTCTTGTGAAATGTGTAAGTGTTCTTGCCTTATTTCGACCTTCCACCGATTAGTTCAATTTAAACTGCTCCGCTGTCTTCATTTGCGGCCTTAAGCTGCTCCGCTTGGAGATAAAGTTGATGAAGCTTTCAGGTCTTTCTCTCTCTCGGATTTTGGCCCAAAACCAGGCACTTGGCGAAGTTTGAAGCGCGGGCTCAGAAAATATAGCCGTAATGAAAAATGAAGCAAAAAGTTTCCGCAAAGTCTGTCGGACTGTCCGCCGGAGTGCGAAAGCCAGCCGCAGACTTTTCACGGGGGGAGTGTGCGACTTTGTCAACACTTTTTGGCGGCCATTGATTTTCCAGGCTAACACTCGGTGCAGGTGTTATGCAGTTATGCAGGCCACGTCTTTGCTAAAGCCATCCGGCCGGCTGCCTCTGTTTCTGTTACAGTTTCTGGCCCAAACCATTAACACTTGGCAAAAGGTTCTGGGTTCTGGCTCTGGTTTGTGCAGTTCCCTCGCCCGCCTTTGTTGCCTGCTATCCTGCGCAAATTGCCGGCGGGCGGGAATTCGTTGTTGCAACTTGTGCAGCGCTTAATTTCTTTGCATTCTGTTGTCGTTGTCGTTGTCAGCGCTTCAGAAAAGTGCGCCTACGATGGTCCTGGTCCTGGTGCTGGTGCTGGTGCTGGTGATGGTGCTGACTTTGCCGCTGGCGGCCTTTCCACTTCATCCACTTTGGCGCTGCGTGCACTTTTTGCCTGTCACATTTGTGTCACAAACAGGAAGAGCCGGGCGTGGGTGGTGTTAGTGTGGGGTGTGGGGCATTGGTGCAGGACAGTTCGCTGCGAGCGGTTGCAGTGGAAAAATGTGGCACACAAAATCAACGCGCACAAGAAAATGAAATGAAAGTTGTACTAGGCGAACGTAAAGCGGAAACGGAAATCAGTATCACTCGGTGGCAGCGGAGGACGGGCTCTGGGGAATGGCTGGTGCTAAAAGTGTGCCAAGGACAGTACTGCAAAAAGTATTTGCACAAAGCGAGAAAGACTTGCAAAGAACTCAAGCGCAACCAAACGGAGCCAAAAGCGAGGCGTAAAATTGAAAAGCGCTTCGGCAAACAAGTGATGGCCACGACGATGGCCAGGATAAGCACGGGAATGGAATGGTGATAAGGATGCTGATTCCTCTACTGATGAAGATGAAGATGAGGATGAAGATGGAGATGAAGATGAGGATGAAGATGAAGATGACCGCTGCGGCAGCGGCGACGGCGGCAAAACAAGCGGAAGAACGATGGTCGGCTTTGAAGTCGCTCAGCGGGATTCCTTGGGCCCTCGGCCAATTTATTACGCAGCTTTTGGCGCACAAGGATTCTTGGCCATTTATTACCTGGCTCTCGGCAGGATCTCCTCCTCCTGTCGATGCCCGCCGCTTGGCCAATGAACTTTTGTTTCAAAGTCAAATTGTTTTGCATAATTTCGCGAGGCGCAGCCAAGTGGCGAGCAGTGTCAAGCGGTCTCCTCCAGCCGGTGTGCCGTGCAAACAGTTTTTCCTAAAAACGCCGCTCTCGCTTTTCTAGCTTTCTGCACCGCTTTCAAGCACCGAGTGCACTTGACAAATTTGCTTAGTTTTTTCGGTGAATGCGCTTCCCGCGCCAAAGGTTTCGGCTGCCAGTTGATTTAGAAAACTCGCTGGCCCGCAAGCCGCGTTAAAGGAGCAACTTTCGAGGGGCCGCCGGCCAAGATGCAGATTCCTTAAAGCAACTCGGCTGCCTGTTTGCCTAATTTTTAATAAAATTTCTAATAACATTTTATGGCAGCCGTTGGCGTCGGGCTTTAATTTGACTCGCTTCGTTTATGCCCAGCCTCAATTATTAATAGAATTTTTTCCGCGTACGCACTTTAGTATTTTTGAAATTTTAATAACATGATGCCTTTTATTGCGTTGGAGCAAAAGCCAAGGAGCGGTGAGCAAGTGAGATGAGGAGGAGCAGTAGTCAAAGAAAGGACCTTTTCGGTGGCCCAGCAGGCGGCTCTGCCTTTGTTTGAGTCGCGAGGACTTCAATATGACAATTTACGTACATTTACCAACATTTATTCTGCTAGCTGCTCCGGAAAAAAACCCGGGCCAAACATGATGACGACGACCGGCACAATGGGGCTGAGCGGAAACAAAAGGCCACTGGCTGCGCTCTTCATTCGTCCTTCTTTATGGGTACCAATCTCCTTTGCTTCTCTGTTCCCAGATACTACATGGAGCGCAAGATCTTCCAGCATCTGTTGGAGCTCAAATCGCTGCAGATCCGCTCCAGCAAACTCAACGAATCCGTGCTGGTGAAACGCGCCGTCGACGACTACCACAAGTCCTGCGTGCTCCTTGGGAGCGAGACGGGAACGCGGCTGAGACGCTACAACTTTACCGAGTTTACCTTCAAGAACTTTGAGCTTTTCCTCTACGAAACGCTCAAGGGACTCCAGCGGCCGGGCACCAACAACTTTCAGAATATCAACGAGGTGTACGAGGAGGTAGGATCACCATTAGCTTATCCTTGCTTATCCCGTCTACCCAGCTCATTCCATTTTTTCCCCTTTTGCAGGCGGAGCGTCGCCTGAGTCCGGACTACAATGCCTACGAGAAGGCGCTGCAGTGCACCACCAAGACACATCGATGTCTCCATGCAGCCCACGCCTACACTGGCATTCCCTGTGCCGCCTACAGTAAGTCGTCGAGTTACAAATAAAACAAGCTCTGAGACTAGTTTTAATTAATTTATTAATTAGTAATTCAATCCAACCATTAACTAAGAACTTATAAAGTAACTCGATTTCATCTTTTATCAACTTGAGAAGCTCGAAAAGTTTTACAACTTTACGATACATAAAACTAAATGCATTTTTTTTCGTATATCAAAGTCTGTATTAATTCTATATAGCTCGGCAGCTACATTCTGTTCCATTGGCTTGAGGGCTTTAAGCGGCTCTGTGCAAGCGTGAAAAATGGCACCAGACAGCCTTTTGGCCGGGCCCAAAGAGGCGAATCCGTTCGTTGGCAACACTTTCGCCGGCACTGGGTCAAGCGTGGGACAGACACTCGAATTCAAAGCAGCTGCTCGCCAGCTGCAGGGCATAAAAATATAAATCCTAATTACGAGCAGTTTATTCACTGCGCGGCAAATTAAAAATATTCTCAACTCGACTCGACTTGACCCGGACCCGGACTCGACCCGCCGCCGCCGCCTTTCTGGCTTTCCACTTTTATTACATCTTCCACTCGGCGCTCGCCATTCGCCGGAGCCGGAGCCGGAGAGCTTCAAAGGATGCGTCCGGCTTATGGCAAATTAAAAACGCATTCATTTGTGCCCTTCGTTTCGCCTCCGTTCCTCCTGTCCATCACTGGGCACTGTTTACACACAGCTATTTTTGCTGACACAGAGAAGGTGGTAATCCCCGCCGAGAAGGTCGGTAATCCGGCAGCCAAAAACGCAGTCGAGTGCCGTTTCCCCATGCCATTATATTTGTGTTTTCTGCTGCAGGACACCTGTCAGTTGCCCGATCATCCCTCCGATCATTAATCTAATGTTTTGTCTGTTGTCTTGCAGTTCCCATGATGAATCACCACACGATGCCAAAGTTCGGCTTTGGACCGTACAAGAAGACGGGCAGCGTGAGTAGCTTCTTCCTGCCCAAGATCCTGACCAGCGGCCGGGCATCCAGCGGAAGGGCAGGTGGCACAGGCAGTGGTGGTGGCAGTGCGGGCGGCGGCAGTCGCTGCAATCACAAGGTGGCCCTGGAGCTGTCGCATGGCAAAAACAAACAGCTAATTTCACTGCCCGCGGAGAAGCTGGATAGCAACAAACGGTACTATGTGACGTTCACTGTTAAGGACTCCTCGGGGCCATCGGCATTCCAGCACCAGCAGCAGCGCGGGAGTACCGCGGGCGAGCAGGGCAGCGGCGGCGGTGGAAAGTAGAGCGTACCGTATACATATTACGTATACGTAATGTGGAACACATAGTGCGTATACGCCACCGCCATCAGCCATCGTCGCGGGAATCTGCCACAGCCGGGCCCGCATCCTCCAGGCGTCCTTTTTTTGTTGCTCCTGCTTCTGGTCCTGGTCCTGATCCTGCTGCTGCTGCTGCTGTTGCTCCAAATGCATTAAAACAATGCCGTCGCTACAGTTTGTGGGGCTTCTGCTGCCGGTGCTTTTGTTGCTGCTTTTGTTGTGGCCACCCGTTGTCCGCGATGGTTTTTTCCCCGTTTGCTTCCTGTCCTGATGTCGGAGTAATACCACGGAAAATGGGGGTTATGCAGGGTATATCATGGATCTTTCGTCTAGTGATATAGATGGTAAGAGAATTTTAATTAATTTTATGGTTTTAGTAACTCTTTAACTAGTTTAGTCACAAAAACAAGTAATTTAAAAGAGTTAAAGCTTGAATGCAAATGTTTTTTTGATATTTTAAAATGTACTTATTTAATACAAAATTCTTGTAGCCCTAAGGCTATTTGTATTTTCAGTTGATGCTGCCGCCTAAGACATATCTATATATTTTTAGTCAGCAGCTTGAAATTAATTGAAGAAATCATTTCCGACCCCATAAACCATATATATTCTTGATCAGCATCGAAAGCTGCATCAATCTAGCCATGTCTAGGCAAAAAATAAAATTTCGACATCATTTCGATTTTTGCAAAAAATCATAAGGGGTTACATCATTAAAAATTGCGAAAATTGGCAAAAAATTGAATTTTCTAAAATCTTAAATTGAGTATGCAGTTTTGTTACCTTAATACAAACTAACGTAAGACAGCTTTCTGAATCAAAATTAATGCATTTTTGGCTGAGTTATGATCTTTTTAAAATTTGATTTTTCGAAAAAATGCTTTTAATTGCTGACCTAGGGTACGTTGTAGTCGATTGTCCAATTCTTTGCTCCGCTGTTTGTTTCTGCTGCACTTTAAGATGGCCAACTGCTGATAATGGATGATGGCTCTGCTCTGCGGCTGTCAGTTGAAGTTGTCACGCCAGCAGCGATGCAGGCAGCAGCAGCAGCAACTGCAACAAGAGCAACAGCAGCAGCAACAGCAGCAACAGCAGCAGCAGCAATTGCTAAGGCAACGGCAGCTTAAATTATGTAGTCCTCCAACCCCGGGCAGTTGTTCAGTTGTTCGGCTCCGCTCTGTGTTGTTTGTCTGTTTCGTATTCTCCTCCTATTTTTTTTGCCGTTGCCGTCTGTTTGTTTGTTTGTTTGTTTGTCTGCTGGCGCTGCCGCTGCGCTTTTATTTCAGTTTTTCATTATCATTTTTTTGTCGCTGTTGCCGAGCGGATGGGGGCTTTGGGTTGGCGCTGGCTGCTGCTTGGCATGCTCCTAATGCCACAGATAAGCGTTGTTATTAACGCTCGGCTTACCAGGAGCAGGCGACAGGCGTGAGGACATGCCGCCCATCGTCGCTTTTGTCCCACTCAGCCAAGGAAGCCAAAAGGGAGCCAAGGGGAATAGGACGAATGAGCACCAGAAGCAGCAGCAGCAGCAACAGCAGCAACAGCAGCAACAGCAGCAACAGCAGCAGCAGCAACAGCCACAGCAGGAGGGGGAGCAGCAACAAAAGCTAAAGCAGATTCAGAATCAGCGAATGAATAAATGTAAAATATGTACCGTGCATTTCTTTGGCATTTCAACATTTTTACTTTATTTGCAATTTTATTTACTTGTCTGCTTGTGCTGCGCCCTTACCATTTTCCCAGCGACTTTTCCACACTTTTTCCCTGCCCTACTCCCATCGCATCCGAACCATTCAAGCCGTTGTTTGTTTGTTTGCTTACTTCGCGCTGAGTGCATTGTAAATGGAGAATAATTGCATTGCATACAAAAACCGTCGCGATTTTTAAATTGTATAAGCGAACAGAAGCTGGAGCAGGAGCAGGAGCAGGAGCAGCAGAAGCAGCATCAGAAGCAGACACATAGCTACCGCCGTAAAATGATTTCTTTAAATATAAAATTATAAGAGCGGAGTGCATAATAAATTCCGCAACTTAAGAGTTCTCGTTCCGCGTAGACCTAAGGCAGCTGTTGCAAAATAAACGTTGAAAATGTCTAAATTGAAGCTTTTCTTTCATACACACACACACACAGACACACACACGTGGAACACGTGGGGGCCGTAGTCGAAACAATGGTACCCACATACCAAGTGTCCTTGGCACAGATCTGAAAAGCGAGCTGATTGCTCGCTTCGCAGGCGCCGGTATCATTATTCCAGCATCTACTGAAATGACGACGACAACGCGGATGACTGCTGACAAAAGGAGCAGAGGACGAAAACATTTTTACGGCATTCTCGGCATTTGAGCAGCCGCCGTCCGCTATCCCTCCCTCCCCTGACTACCCTTTTTTTTGGAAGCTGTTCTTATGACTGCCATGAATGTCAGCCGGAGAAGTGGCCCACTCCTGGTGCTGCTGCTGTTGCTGCTGTTGCTGTTGCTGCTGCTGTGGCGACATGCAGCTGTCAGGCCGGGGATAGCAATAATCGCCGCGCTCAATCGAAGCCGTTATGAGTTTCACCAGGACGACCAACAGGACGAACAGGACAACCAGCGCCGGTTGTCAGTCGTCTGCTAATTGAATTCCAAACTGGCCTTTATGGTATCCAAGTGCCATCGGATTGGCCGCTTTCCGTTCTCCATTTTCCATTTAATGTAAGCAGTGATGTTCGCTACAGAAACTGTTGAAAAGATATTTAAGAAGGCTAAAAGTTTCTTAAGAAATATTCAAAATAAAATATTAACTATAATAAAATATATTTATATTTATGTGGAAATAAATCGTATCTTTAGGGATTGTTATCCTTGATATTAATGAATACTTACTTGTTAAAAATCAATCTTTTAAACTATAGAACATTAAGCTTCATAATTTTCTCAACTTGGTCACTGGTAGCTGCCCCCAAAAATGGCTGAAAAGCAGCCAAGTTAGCTGCCCAGACTGGAGGGCATTAAAATTTCAACAGTTCTGTCCGGACTAAGCATGCCTCTGTGAGTTGTGACAGCGCACTTTGAATGGCAAAAGGACTCGGGCCGAGCAGGGGCGTCATTTAATTTATTTAAGCATGCTGCGGCTAAGCAGTCAGTCGCGTTCTAAGGAACGCCACCACCCGGCAGATGGCAGCCAGCTCCTTCTCCATCTCAACCTACCATCTCCACCGCCTGAATCTGTACAAGTGGGGTGGTGACCCTGGGATTCCATTTCGATTTGCCCACTTGGCAGCAAATCTTCGGATTTATGTGGCTTTATTTTTAGTCCGAGTGCTGCAAAGTGCGTTCGGACCGGATGAGAACTTAAAATTCCAGGCAATTGCGGAGAGAAGCTGCAGCGAAAGTGGTTTGCCAGCAAATGAAAACGCCATGAAATTGACAACAAAAGCAAACGGCAAGCAAAGGCAGTGGCCATTGGCGAAGGTGAGCTGGAAAGTAGAGTGAAAAGTAAATCCGCACGTGCCAACCCCAAATTGCGGGGAGTCTTCCGCTTTCTCCGAATAGAAAAAGGGAACTGGGATTGCGAGACCACAATGCAGATTCCGAGTTACATTTTGAAATTAAGCTCTCTGGCTTGAGCATGTCCCGGAATTCATAAGGTGAGTTCGGTGCGGGGTGTTCCATTACCAATCGATTGTCCTAATTCAGTTTGAATGGTCCCAAAGTCCCATTCCGAATACCAATACCAACGCCATCTACATGCCAAGTTTTTGCCCTAAAAAGTGTGCAACAAATTACGACAAACAGGCGCTTGCATTCGCAGAAAGTTTCACTGCAAAACTTAACTTTCTTGGTAGATGGTCGGGCCCACGCTCTGCAAATTTTCCCCCAACTGTTTTAATCTCTTGTGCATGCCAAGGCCGCCAAGAGCACCCACTCCCCCGCGTTCCAATCCAATCCAGCTCACTCCTCAGATCCTCGCCAGCTCCATGGCTCCTTAATTCGAATCGCTGGCTTTGGGCGGAGCGCTCGTGTTTGGCTTTGGGGCAAACAGTCAAAGAAGGAGGCGGAGGGACACTAAGAGGCAAAGTAATGAAGGCGGTCTCGGTCTCCATTGACCGACCGACCGCCTTGCCAGTGTTTCGATTACGCGCCTCAAGTGGCAATCAGGCTGCAGACGGGTAGGATGCAGCGCCGCAGGATTTGCTCGGCATTAATAACACTTAACCCTTGGCCAAAGTTGGGAAAGCCGGATTGGAGCTGGAGCTCCGACCGACCCGGCAGCGGCATTAATTCCCGCCTTTGATGTCCAAAAACGAACGGAGGCAGGCCGCCTAATTGGAATTGATTTGAACACGATGTTTGCTTTGAATCTTGTTTATTTATTCAGTATTCAGTATTATTATTATTATTATTAACACACTCAGTAGTTTCGACTTAGTTATAATGTATGTCCGCATTGAGTTCGCTTTACGCGCCACACTCTCCTCTCGTCGCATTTAAATTTAATTTATTTATAAATCTAAACTTTGCTTAAAAACAATCAGTTTGGTTTTGTCCAGAGTGACAGAGACAGAGACGGGGAACGGGTGCCCGTGCCCCGATTATTCCATTTATATAGTATGTACTCTATATATATGTATTTCAATTTATTTTATTACGCATACGCACTGTATATTTTGCTAGTCTGCCGTTTCACTTTATGTTTGTATATTTGAAATTAGAATTCGAATTACATTGGAGTATTGTGTAAACTGTATGGCGTATTATTATTATTATTATAATTATTATTATTATTATTACTTTTTCCTTGCCGTACTTTGCGGGTTACTTTAGTTATTTATAACATTTACAATGAATTCGGTCTGGTTGCTTGTGTGTTTGTTTCCTGTGGAGTGGTTGGAGTGGCCGCCCTGGCGAGTGGAATTGTTGATGCTGCTCTAGTGGACTCTGGGAATTGGCTGTTTACTCGACATTTATTCATTATGCACTCGAACATCCTAACACTCGGGGCCGCCCACTCGGCGGCGGGGGCGGCGTTCCTCTGTTTGGCTTTCGTTATTCATCTCGTGGCAATAGAATATTCATGAAGTGCCATAAATAGCGGCTGTCAGATCGGATCGGAAAGTAAAAGTCTGAGGGCGTGGCCCGGAAAGTGGTCCAGAAATAGGTGTACCTTGACGCCGAAAACTTTTGATTCACCTCCGTTCGGGAGGGGCGGCTTTACTCTTCTAATGGATCCTTTAACTTATATCCTAATGCAGACATAGACTGATGAACAACGGCCGCCTGATAACCAATATCTCTCGGCTGGTTGCCAGCCGACGAGCTCTATGAGTCCTAATTACACTTTCGATACACACGACTTAATTAGCTACTGGCTTACTCACTAGTTGTTCATTAATTACACTTACACTTACAATTAATATTTAACATTTAAATGCAGTTTGATTAATGTTTGCCCGTTCTCTATGTACAGTCGATGGTGCAACAGCAACGATTTCTGAATGATCTCTATGTGGGTCCAGGGAGTGTGTATCATTTTGGTGTGTTGTGTGTGTTGTGTTTCATGTGTGATGTTATTTACAGGTTTTTGGTTTTCTTTGCTTTTTGATTTCAGTTACAAGTTTGTAGCGTATTTATAGGGCTTCGCTTTGTCTCCGAGTTCTCTATATATATTTTGATTCTGCATCGACAATTCGCATGACACTTACAAAATGGCTTATCCTTATCCATTGCCCGTATATAACGTAACGTAACGTAATACGTATTACCTTTAACGCTAATGCATTTAAATTTATGCTAAAAATTTACAGCTATGTTAAATGAAATGCCCGTGAATTATGAGGCCTGTGTCTGTATGTGGTCATGTGTGTGGTGTGTGTGTCTGGGCGTGTGTAGGTTGGCTCACTATGGTAGATATTTATTATTACTTTTTACAATTACTTCAGCGTTGGATCCAGGGTCGTAAATTCCAATTCGCCGCGCGGCAATATCAGATCCGGGTCTGCAATATACACTTTGGTTGGTTGGTATAAAACAAAATCAACAACAATGCCGAGAGAGCATATGTGAATGGGTGTGTTTTGTGTGTGCGGTGAGTGTGTTTGTGTGTGCGGGTAAGGATATAAATTCATGAGAGTGAGTAATGGGTGAGCGAGTGAGTGTGAGTATGAGTGTGAGTGTCCAGGAATAGAGAAACAAAAGCAAATTGTTTATACCGATTAGTTTAGCTTGTTTGGTTGGTTGGTTGGTCGGTTTGTTGTCATTGCTTTTCAGATATTCACAACACTTGCAAAATGACATCATAACAGAGTTGCAAATTATGATTTGAGCGGCGAAAAGAAAAGAGAACCATTAGCAAATAAGTACATATCGAAAGCGTGGCCAACTGTGCGCTGATAAGGAAACAAATGGCATCTAATAAAATAGCAATATGAACAATAATAACAATACAACAATAACAGCAACAGTCACAATCACAGAAGAAGCAGAAGCACAACAACAAGAGACCACAATCGACATACACAAACAGGAACTGAATAAGGAACAACAAGGACATTTGAGCGACTGGCGACTGGGACATTTCAATATTAATATTCACTTTACGGGGACACGCTCCCCCCATTTGCCCTTCCGCTCGTAAACGTAAAATAATTCAACAATTTCTTAATTTTTATAGCGCATTTCGCTGGAATTTATGTGCGAGTCGCTTTTATTGTGGTCCGCCCCAGTCCGACTTATTGTACAAGTGAATCTTGAGCGCCATCTAGCGCTGGCTCCTCGCACTCACTGCCGCCCCCATCCGCTTGTTGTTTACGATTTTGCAGTTTGTTATTTGACGTGGCCCCGCCCGACGAGCACCCAGTGATATTTTATTATTATCGCCTTTTATGTCACATTTGTGTGGCGTCTTTGAGCCATAAAGACGCACAAACTAAGGCGGCTCTAGTGTGAGTCTAGTGTGTGGGTGTGCCGTGTCCCGTGTCCTGTGTCCTGTGTCCTATGTCCTGAGCCCCTGTGCGTGTGCGAGGCTGTGGCCTTTCACGTTTACTTTCACGCCATGCCTGACAGCATTAAAAAATGTCAAAAGTCGCAAAAATGTTGCCAGGCCTGTATGCTGGGTCCATACTGAGCCGACAGAAAAAGGCGGAAGACCTCTTCGAAGCGGAGTGGCTTCAGTGAATCGCGGAGCGGAGGGGACAGGAAACGGAAGTGCGGCGACAAATGAATGAACAGCGTTGACATTGAGGCTTCACAAGAATGGTTGCTAGAGTACGTGGGGCAGCCAGCACGTGTATGTGAGAGTGTACACAGTAAACAAAAAAGATTAATCCAGGGAATATTATTTTCAGTCAGAAGCTTGAAACTAAGTGAACCAATCATTTCCGACCCCATAAATTATATATATTCTTGATCAGCATCGAAAGCTGAACCAAACTAGCCATGTCCGGTCGAAAAATAAAATTTCGACATTTTTTCGATTTTTGGGAAAAATGATAAGGGGTTACATCATTAAAAATTGCGAAAATTGGCAAAAAATTGAATCTTCTAAAATCTTAAATGGAGTATGCAGATTTGTTAACCTAACAAAAACTAGCATAGAAAAACTTTCCGAATTAAAATTAATACTTTTTTAGCTGAGTTATAAGTTTTTTAAATTTTGATTTTTCGATAAAATTCTCATTCCGACTTTGTCGGAATATTCTCTGTGTGTTGTGCCTGTGCGGCGGCGTAAACAATGTTACCAAAGCAAATTCTGTGGCATTTTTTGTGGAATGACAGAGACATCAAAGTGAGAACGCGGAGCTGATACACACACGCACACACATATACGCACTTTAAGGAGTCTTTAAGATAATGCCACCATACTCGCACCGCAGCGAATGGCGCCGTGTGCTCATTTCGAGTGGCTGCTGTGCGGCTTGGTCTCAACTTTGTCTAATTAGACGAGTGCCGCTGGAGTGCACATGGAGCCCGCAAACCCACTCGCATTACTTACAATCCAAATACTCCTACGGCAGCATCCTCCTCCTAGCAGCAACATCACCGGCATCAGCAGGTTAACAAAACGCGGCCAGCAAGGACGAAGGCCACACAAACTTGGCTCAAACTCGCGACTCTTGGCAGGCAAGACAAACAGCAACAATGGGACGAGCAGCAAAAAAGCAAATGCTGAGCAAAATGAATGGAACACAGGATGAAATGAAACAAATGTGCACAAAAAGCATGCATGCCTCTTCTTGCTGCCCTTAGTTCCTCTACACGCACCCTGAGATATGACTGTGGGGCACAAAAAGTCAAATGAATTTGACTGAGCCGGGGGCCTCGTCCCTTTTGGGGGCCCCCGGTGCCATGCCCCAGTGCCACCTGTACCGTGATACACACACACACACACACACACACACACACGTACAGAGAGAGGCAACTAGCATATGCAATTAAAAATGCTGGCTAATGACAGCCCATGCCGAGATGTGAGGCGGCTGTCTTTTCGTGGCACTGAGCGACTAGTGTATACACACATCTGGATACACGTATGTGCACAGTGGCTCACTTGTTTGCCCTGAGTTATGGCACTGGAAGTGTTTCCCTCATTCCACGTGCTTTTCATTTCAATTTGACTTGGGCTGCAAGTGGGTAGACCATGAATGTCTAGGCAGGACCTAGATCAAATTTACTAGCCCAACTCGACACTCTGTGTCTAACTGGTCTAAATACATGGCCTAAGTGGTTCGTAATGGCGAGGATTTGAGCTGACAGTGCTAAGTTTGCAAGGAGTTCTTTTCGATCCTGTTAATTACATATACTCGATCTGATTCTTGTGCTCTGTTTCCCATTCGATCTCAATATTCAATGGCAACCTTCAAGGGTATTCAAACAACTTCAAATTAGATTCCTTTTCTATTTTCTTTTTTCTCTAAACCGATGTCTTCTATTTTAAATGTAATGTGGACTCCTTACAGCACTGACTACCAGCAAATATTTAGAAACTTTACATTATTTCGATATGTAGTTCTTTGTGAAATCCCAGGCAGTCGCTTTAGACGCCTTGTAGCCCAGTGTAATCCTCGCCAAGACAGTTACCAAAACTGTCTGCTCTCAGAGCAACAGCTACCAACATTCTTGGACCGCTCCTCTGGCGCACTTCAGACCGACTTTGGCACTTGTTAGTGTCTTGTAAGCCAGTTGACTTGGCTTACGTTCTGCCGGGTGAGAGGGCAGCACTGGAGCGGGAATTACAAATATGCACACCCCAGAAAGTCCAAAGTGGTGTGTGCGTCGTGTCAGCCGAACAGGCCCCCGGCGCACATAAATTAAGGCTGCCGACCTTAGTCGGCAGTGCTGAAGCCAACCCGAAAACAAAACAAAAAAACGATGGGTACTAAATTCGGGAAGCCGAAATTTAAATACCCTTGCAATTTCGTTAAAGGATCGCATCGAAAATCTATATCCCCAGTATTAAATATTCGCATTCTTTAAATTTTTAAATACTCATTACTTGGCCAAAAAAAATTTATTTTAATTCGGACAGCTTTTCAATGCTACTTTTTGTTAGGTTAATAAATCTGCATACTCCATTTAAGATTTTAGAAGATTCAATTTTTTGCCAATTTTCGCAATTTTTAATGATGTAACCCCTTATCATTTTTCGCAAAAATCGAAATGATGGCAAAAATTTATTTTTTGCCCAAACATGGCTAGATTGATTCAGCTCTTCATGCTGATCAAGAATATATATGGTTTATGGGGTCGGAAATGACTCCTTCATTACGTTTCATGCTTCGGACTTAAATTATATTCTTCAAAAAGGTATAAAAAACAGACAATTTTTATACCAAATCTAAGTTTTTCGGACATCATAAATAGGCCGAAATTGCATATATTTTAACTCGGAAAGCTTTTCTGTGCGAGTTTTTAATGCACTAACAAATCTGCATACTGCGTTTGTTGGTGCAAATATAAGCTTCCGTCTTAAATAATAAAATCCTGCAAAGGGGTATAAAAACAGACAATTTTTGTCAAAAAATCATAGTTTAAAAAACTCATAACTAAGCCAAAAAATCATTAATTTTAATTCGGAAAGCTTTTCTATGCTACTTTTTGTTAGGTCAATAAATCTGCATACTCCATTAAAGATTTTAGAAGATTCAATTTTTGGCCAATTTTTGCAATTTTTAATGATGTAACCCCTTATGATTTTTCGCAAAAATCGAAATGATGTCAAAATTTTATTTTTTGCCCAAACATGGCTAGATTGATTCAGCTCTTCATGCTGATCAAGAATATATATGGTTTATGGGGTCGGAAATGACTCCTTCATTACGTTTCATGCTTCGGACTTAAATTATATTCTTCAAAAAGGTATAAAAAACAGACAATTTTTATACCAAATCTAAGTTTTTCGGACATCATGAATAGGCCGAAATTGCATATATTTTAACTCGGAAAGCTTTTCTGTGCGAGTTTTTAATGCACTAACAAATCTGCATACTGCGTTTGTTGGTGCAAATATAAGCTTCCGTCTTAAATAATAAAATCCTGCAAAGGGGTATAAAAACAGACAATTTTTGTCAAAAAATCATAGTTTAAAAAACTCATAACTAAGCCAAAAAATCATTAATTTTAATTCGGAAAGCTTTTCTATGCTACTTTTTGTTAGGTCAATAAATCTGCATACTCCATTAAAGATTTTAGAAGATTCAATTTTTGGCCAATTTTTGCAATTTTTAATGATGTAACCCCTTATGATTTTTCGCAAAAATCGAAATGATGTCAAAATTTTATTTTTTGCCCAGACATGACTAGATTGATTCAGCTTTCGATGCTGATCAAGAATATATATAATTTATGGGGTCGGAAATGAATCCTTCACCTAATATTTACAAAAAACCGATTTTTGGCCAATTTTTGCAATTTTTAATGATGTAACCCCTTATGATTTTTCGCAAAAATCGAAATGATGGCAAAAATTTATTTTTTGCCCAGACATGGCTAGATTGATTC